ACTCTTTCTGAACAGTTTTCAGTATATGAGGTTATGATGTGGCACAGCTGACTTCCAAACACCATAATATTGCTTTTAACTCTGCTTGTAATGTATACTTATGTATTAATTAATAAGATGAGATCCCCAAGTCTAGATAAGGTTTGGAGCTATTGGTTCCAGCTAGTTCTTGGACAGGAATGTTTTGTTATAATTTACCCTGTCAATCTTGCATGTATTTTACATGTAATTTCTGTACTTACAAAAATATATAATGTACTTAACATTTGTCATCTTTGCTTGTCCTACAGAACATAGGGGTAGCAAAAGCAGTAGATACTGTTCTAGCTGGACAGGGAGAAGAACAGTCCCTGGGTATTGTATTGACTTTAGTTTAGACTAGCAATACAACTGCACTGTTACTCTTCACAGAGTCTTGACCCTACCACTCTTCACAGAGTCTTGACCCACCACAGATTTATTTATTTATTTATTTATTTATTTTTTAACTTGCAGAAGATGGTTTTGTGCCTGACACTCAACCCAGATCTTGGAGTAACGTGTAAGAACTTTGAAGAAATCGACTACCACCTGATTAGTCAATGCTCTCATTGGTAATGTTGCATGTATGGAAATAGAGTGCATAAACATCTTTGTGTTCAATTTCTAGATCTTCTAACTGCAACAAACTGTCAGTTTCTGAAATGCTAATGATGCCCACACAGGCAAAAAAGTCTTTGCCAGGACCTGGTAAGCAACTTGTCAAATATCTTCACTAATTCTAAGATGTCACAAAATGTTTTGCATATATGAAAAGTTAGTAACACACAGACAACCTAGCTTTATTAATGTTTTTTTTTTTTAAGATGCTCATTTGAGTTTGACACAACAGCAGGAGTGCCTCTCCTCAGCACAGAGATTTTCGGTTCCAGGCTCAGGCCCAGTCAGCCAAAAGCAGCTTTGTACCAAACTCAGGGGGTACCTGCAGCATATCATCAGAGAGAAGAACCAAGACTGTGCACCACAGGAGCCAGCTGTGCCCCAGAGACACAAGTCTGATGTCAAAGAGGACTCTAGAGTCAGAAGTTCTGCAGACCAGTGTGTATCCGCACTGTGTCCTTCCAAAAAGCAGCAGGCCAAGAGAAACATCCTGGACAAAGAGAAGAGCAAAGGGCAGATGCCACTGGTGGTAGATTCTACTGTGAATAAAGTTTCAGTTGAGGCGTCCACAGCCAAAGCTCTGCAGGACAGAACACCACTCAGCATTAAGGGTGAAATTAACAGGACCCTTGTAAGCAAAGAGAAGGTATGAAATCTGCAAGCTTTAAACAGCTAAATGTCTATTCTGAGCAGTGTTAATTTAATCAACAAAAACTATAACAAGACAAAAATAAAATGTAACTGATAATGAAAGGTACTACATCTTTAAGAAAAATAAAACTAAAACTAAACTATAATGTGAACGAAAGATGAATGAGCATAATTACCATCTTAATTCAGTTTTATGTATCTGTGGTATCATGAGCTGTTTCTCACAATTACTTAAATGGTTTCCTCAACCATCCATAATGTCTCATATATTCAGTAATGTTCTGTGACATTTTTCTGATGTTACCAGTTCTTGAATAAATGGGTTTTTGAACTAAATTAAAACTAAAATTAATCGGTATCGGAGACTCAAATGAACACTGATTCGAGGGTTTTTTATGTTGCATATTGTGATTCTAACATCATCTGCTGTTTCTGCTCAGAGAGATTCAGAGGTTGCAGGTAGCATGGTGAAGCTCATCTCTAGTCGTTATAAAACCCAATCCACAGCAGAAAATGGCCTTCAGAGCTGGATTCCTCCTCATGTCAAAAGGTATACATTGATGGTAACAGTGCTACAATATGTTGCATTGCTAATATATTCATACAATATTTTGTGTTTTTGTAATAGGCCGGTCTTCAATATGAGCTGGTTATCCATCGGTAAAGTAAGTGATCATTACTTGAGTTATGGTGTGGAGCAAATTGAAGTTGCTTTCTGTTTGGTTTACCAAAGATGATTTTTATCTGCTATAGAAAGATGTATCTGCAGCTGTAAGCTTAATGAAGTCCAACAGTAACGCAAAAAGAAACTCTATGAGTCAGAGGTAATATAATTCAACTGAAAACCTTTGGGGACATTTAAATATTTCAGTGGATTTTAGTGAATTTAGAATGCCTTTAATAACTTTTTTTTGTTGAATAGGAAAAATGTTTTTGAATTCAACGTTGATGCACCATTGATTATTGGGGTAAATACTGTTAATCTATATATTGACTTAATTTATATATATTTTTGGATGTATTATACATGAGTAATTAGTATGCTACATAAGTATACTTTATTGCCCTTTAGGGAAAGGACAGGCCCTTCTTTAACACCTCTGCCACATCTAGCAGGTAGGTCTGACATCTACGGGTTCATTTATCAAAAAATTCAACCTTTACAGCAGTAACAGGATATTGTATTAAAGTCTAATTTTATATTCCCCATGTTGTTTGACAGTGGCATCAATGAGTCCTCAGTACTCCGCAGCACAACCAAGAAAGGACAACCTGTGGCAAAAGTATATGTTCATTGTACATTAGTCTTTTATTATAGGCAGTAAATGCTGTTACAGAGTCCATGTCTGTCTGTAGACGCAGTATGTGTATACCTGTCCTGAATGTTTATTCTGCTCTTTTCAAAAAGTTATGACTTAACACTTAATGCTGTATGGGCAGGAGTTATGCAGCAATCAGACTGAAAATTCTCATCCTCTCTTCTCTTTGACCTTCTCTTTTGATCTATCTGTCTCTGTTTTTGCTGCTACCTGTGTGTTGCAGGAGAGGCGGCATGAGAAGAAGCATCTGTTTAGTGACACTGATACAGACCATGCCATGACGGAGGTCAGCTGGCTGACTGAGTCGGCCAGAAAACCCAAACCCAAAGTTATCAAATACACCAGGCAGGCACCTGCCAAGCCTAAAGCTATATCACTTCATACTTCATGTAGGCCATTAAAGCTACACAGTCATGCTTTCAATCTGAAATCCCATCATATCAAAACTGGATATTGATACAATTGTGTAAAGACATAAATATTTCCATAAACAGAATGTGTTTTATTTAATTACAGATGAATCCCCAGATTTACCCCCACCCTCTCCAAAACATGTGAAGGAAACCGTCAAACCCAATAAGGTAATGCAGCATTTTTGTTTTTGGTTTGGTTTTTTTGTTGTTGTTGTAGTTTTTTTTTGCAAATAATGGGTTTTAAACCTGTGATGCACTATTCCAGTCAGCCACAGTGTGTCATTGTGTCTTTAGAAAAAGCCCACTGTGAAGGAAAGGGTGGAGCAGCCAAAGGAGACAGTGAAGCCAGCAGCAGCCCCCAGCAGACCACTTGCAGCAGGTGGGAGGCCCAAGAGAGCTGCAGCCACCTCTACCAAGAGCTACAGGGAGCCAGATACTGATAACAGCGATTCTGAGAATCCTCCTGTTCCCAAGGCAAAGACTTCCCTATATTATATCACTTTCTCTTAAAACACTGTTGAACAAATAACATTGTGTGTGCACATTCCTATAAGACTACGTTTGTCCTGATAAGAATGTTTTATCGTCAGTATAGCATAAAAAAACTGTTCAGAGTGCTAGGTCTCCCCACCCATACAGTACTTACAGTACATACTACACACCTTGGTCTCATGCTATCTTAAACACAAAATTAACTACTCAGTACAAATTTCAAGCAAATTGTGTCAATATCTTAATTAACCACTTGTGCAACAGCAACCATTTAAATAGGTTTTTTTTTTCCTGAACAACTGAATGGTAGATTTAGTTGTGTGCCAAGCAAGTACCTGCAAATGCTTTACTTTGAGCACAGCGTTTTAAACAGGTGGTATAAACACATCAAAATTTGATGTATCATACATACATGGCATTGGGAGCACTGACAAAAACAATGTCTGTTTCTAAGTAATACTGGAAATGCAGCAGTTAATCACAGTGCTGTTGAAAAATGAATAAAACGGATGCTTTTTTTTGTCCCCTAATAATAGCACTCCTCCACTGATCATCTGGAGAATACTGAGAGAAAACACACGGCTGCTCAAGTGACAAAGAAAAAGACTGCTAGCAAACAACTAACCAAAAGCCACATGAAGCGAGAGAGCAACCATCATAGCAGCCGGTCAGAGTCAGAATCTGTGTCAGAGCAGCCACCTAGTTCCAAGGTAACTGACTTTATCTGACATGATCCTGATCAAATGATTATCTATTCTGCTTGTCTCAGAGTGTATCAGAACTTATTCACATACTCAAACTGTAATGAACTTAATTAGCAATTTGCTCTATTCTAATATAGGCTCTGTTTGCATTTGTGCTGTGGGGCAGTATAACTGCATTTGTTTAATCATCACATTTTAATTAGGTAATAAATCAAGCTAGGGACCATGGTTACAGTAGCATCCAGCAAAAACAACTGCATCAAAGCCTACAGTAAACTCACCAGATAGTTTTAGTTTTTCCTCCAAGCATCCTATGGTTGTCAGTGGGTCCTTAAAAAGTCTAAAATCCAGTAATTTGTCAGATTAACTTCAATTGTACTTTGGGAAAATGTTTAGGTGATAAAATAATGCTGCCTATGGTACATTGGTGCATTTAGTGCTACGTTGACATTCGCAGCGCAGTGCACTATGTGCCAGAAACCCTGAACTTTGGAATTTTGGGTTATAAAAATGCTGGGGTCATATGGGAACTCTGAAAAACAGAAACCTGCAAACGTGTGCCATGAAACAGTATTGTTCTGTATTAGCACTGGGAGTGTCACAAAGGTCCTGCCCAGTGAACCTCACTGGGCCGAGCTGATCTACACCAACAATGAAAACCTAGGTGCTGTGGGCTTTTCACAGTAAAAGAAAATGAATAGTCAGCTGATTTTTCATCATATCACAGTTTTTTTGCCAGAATGGGTGTGAAATAGCTCTTAAATTACACTCAGTGATCTGAAACAAGGTCTTAAATAGCCTTAAATTTAACATGATGAAACCTGCAGGAACCCTGATTATAATTTTGTTTTTTTTCCCACAGGGGGAGAGTCAGAAGACTTGTCCCAAGGTTCCAGAGGTAAAGAAGAGAAACACTTCTGAGAAATCCACAGATATCTACAGGAGACTGGACAGCAACAACCAGTCACATCTAAATAATGAATCTGGGCTCAAGGTGGGAACCTAGCCTTCTATTTAGGTTAACTCAGCTTAACTTTGGAAAGTGTTAGGCTATGTGAATAGAGCATATCTGATGATTCATTGTGGTTTATTGTGACAAGGAATTGTTAATAATCTTATGTGGACAAAATGATTTTAAATTATGTAAAGACAAATACATGAATATAAATATTATGACTATATGGGACACCTGCTACTGATACTCCTTATAGAATGTGTAGGAAAATGTGCTGGTTTGTGCAAAATGATATGGCATGAGTCGTGGTCCTGAATGTGCACTTGAGGGTTTGCTCATCATCGTATATAACAGAAACACTGTTTTTCAGAAGCAGAGACCTGAGAATGTTTCTGAAGAAACTTTGGGGTTAAAAAAGAAAAATGCCATCCCTATCCAAGAACAGATGAATGCGTTGAGGGATTCCTGGGCTGCTCACCAGAGCCCTGTCTGCCCATCCACTCCTACCATTGAGAGGATGAGATGTAAGAATCTGTGGGAAACCACTCACCAGCATCAGTTCTACTGCAGGCATTTTCTCTTTTTGATATCAGATAGTATTTGTTAAATGTTTCACAGTGTTTCAAATGGTTAATCATAGTGGCTTCATATTACTTACAAGCCCTTTTAACCCTTTATATTTGTTTCCCATCACTGACAAACATACAGTAGCTTTTGCATGGATTCAGCTAAATTGTAGTAGATGTTCAGTGAAACAATGTTTGGTTTTCTTTTAGTGTAGAAACAGTGCACCGTTATTTAACTAGTGCCTGGCTTTAGAGATTGTTCAGGGGGGTGGAGTGTATGAATTCAGCAAAGCCCTCTTGTTGCCAGTCAAATGTTTGTGATAAAAGATCACTTTTATTTTCAAAGCTAGAAAGAAGATTTAAAATTGTCCAATCTAGAATGGATATGTGTACAAAACAATATTCTTGATCCAAAACCCAATTTGTTGCAACAGTGTGACGTAAAGCATTTACTTGGCCTGTTCACTGTCAGTTATTAAATATTTTGTATTACAAGCATAAAACAGTCTGTGTATGTTTGCACTAGCTGCATTTTAACCCTGATGATGAACATTATGTAGAAAGTTTAAAACTATTACATAAATAGCTTTCTGTCTCTCCAGCCTTGTAACTGTAAATTGATATGTAGAAAAGAATGTATATATTGACCTTTTTCACTCTGGCCAACTTCTGAGCCCAGCTGTCTGAACATCTGTGCTTATTTTGGACCCACACAGCTGCTGAGAGGTCAGCCCCAGCCTTGGATTTGACCTGCTCCCCTCTCCTCACCCCGCGGGGATCCCCGCTCCCTGCCTCCCCTGACCCTGCCTGCCAGGTCACACCCTCGCCAATCCTGCTGCGACCCAAACCTTGCTCTACACTCAGCAGTAAAGGAAATTTGAAGCCCTCTCCTTTCTACAATGTAGAAAAAAAGCACATCTCATCCAAGGCTCAGTCCATCCGGTCTGTTGCCTCTCTCCCTTCACTAGGATGTCCAGTCCCTGCACTTGATCCTCCCATTGGACCTGATGCAATAGAGGTAAAACAGCACCTCTCTAACACCTTGTGGTTTCTGTGTCAGCAGTTAGAATCATATTTGGAGTGTTTTAATGTAGCATAGACTCCACATGCTCCTTTTTACCTTAATATACAGTATGCAGTCAGTGTAGTACAGAATACAGTATGTTATGGCAGCTGGACTCCTCAGTTGCAGCTGGAACTCATTCCCTGGAATTTAACATGTCTAAGTGAATCACACCTTTGCACTACATGGAGGTCACTGACATCATTCAGTATTTGTCACTTACAAGAGTGATATGAATGGAGGTGTGAGTTATTAGATGAAGTCCTTAAACAGCGAATGGCATACTTATTTCCAGCCATTTAATATTAAATCCTGGGTACCTCTAGATTAGCTTTGCACCCTTCCAAATAATTCCAAATAGTCTGTAATTATTTCAGAACGATAAAATCAGAGAGTCTCTTCCTAAAAATGAGAGGATAGTTTGTGAACGCACACACGTCCTATTGCCAGTGTTGTGTTGCAAGTGGACAGCACAGTGAACTGCAATGGCATTAATTAAGTTGAATTACTCCTCTACAGACAGATAAACAACGGTATATGCACCGATGAAAAGATATGTAACATTCTAAACAAAGCAGGTAGTTGAGAAACTCCATATTTTAACTGGCATAATGCAGACATAGTAACTTCTGTAACCTTACAACAATTCTCTCTACCCTTACAGAAACAGCACATTAAAAGACATGCAACATGTGGTTTTAAACTTACCGTTAAGTCCCACGGAGTAGTGGAAACATCACTTCCTTTCTAGTAGCTCCAAGGTTGGTAAATCCAACCGGTGGTTGCTGCGTCTTCCCCCACACGACCACATATAGGCCCAAAGTAGTGAAATTAATTCCAATAGGTGCCTGGCACCAACAATAACATTGTGGATCGTTAATCCGCTCATTAACCGGCAACATATCACATAAGGTAGACGCACTGGCCTCAAGCAGTCAAAACAAACAGGTACTGTTCTCCAGGAGAATCCAGCGTTGATGAGCTGATCATTCACCTCCCCAGGGAGCTTCACTGGCTGGCTGATCAGATTAAACCCAGTCAGGTAAAACAGTGAGTCCCTGTACATGACCATTCCTGAGCATGCAGTAACCTCAGGCCCTGTATTTTTCTCCACACCCTCTGGACACAGTGCAGCAGCAGGAGGTAAAATATATTCACAAAACTGTGTGTGGTCAAAGAATTCTGCTTTTACAACAGCACTGGATGTCAGGCAAGCTCACATGAATGTGCAACTGCCTGGAGATTAAGACCATTCAAGGAGATCCTTAAACTCTCACATATAGTAATATGAGAAAATGCAACACTTGCCTCCCTCAACAACTATTGGTGAGCTTTGATTTTCTGTTTTAAAGCAAGTTTAAATCTCCAACTGCTCAGCTACTACCAGTTGTTAGGAGTACTAACTGAGGTTAGGCCTGTCTGAGGGGTGAATAAATGAAACCAAATCTGAAGCGACCATTGGAGAACTTCACTTTTCCCTTATTAATACATCATAATTATGTAGAAATAGTTGGAATTACACTTGATGACAAATGAAGTAGCATGATTGAAGTGACCTACTTATCTCCAGTCAGAGCAGATAATAGTGTTGCACTATTATCATTTTACTGGCTCTAATTCATTACGGACATAGTGATTAGATAACCACTAAATGAGTTGAAATTAATATTTAATTTTGTCCATCATTCTCTCATCACTTTCTGCCCCCCTTCATTCCTTTGTTTTCCAGATAAGTCCAGTCCAGCAGTGTGTATCCCCAGGACCTCAGTCTCCTTTGTCCACTCAGCCCCTGCTGACTTCAACACTCTTTGAGCTGGACAAACCGTCCATGCCCTCTCCTCCTCAGTTGCCATTCCCAGAAGACAGTGTCAATCATGGCCACCATTACGACTATAGTAAAATGTCTTCAGTATCCCAGGTTTTATTGAGCCAGTCATCCACTGAGTCATCAGTATGGACCAGCAGAGTTAATGACAGCCCCACTGCAGTGCCGCTTGTGCCTCAGAAAGCAGAGGTAGGAAGGGCTTTACTACACTCTGCTTTATGATTGTGATTGATTGGATGAATGGGAGCACTGCTAGACCACTAATGAGTTACTGAGATACAAACAACTAATCCATTATTCTCCAAACTGACAGAAAACACCACCTTCAGACCTAGAACTAAAGTCTGCAGAGCTTCATGTATCAGGTAAAAGACCTTTTGTGAAGAGCTTGGTCCTTCATGGGCATAGTCTGGATTTCCCACTTGTTACAGTCATTCCCAAAGACATTTGCCCCCTATATTTAACAGGGTTACAATTAAGTATAAAATTACATCTAATGAAATAGTCATTATGAATCACTGACAGGTTTTAGAGGATGTCCCTTTGTTAGAAAGCAGTTGTGTAATGGGTAATGTATTATGTTACAGGACCCAGTCGCAAGCGCCACATCTCCTTGTCCAGTAGTTCTGAAGAAGAGGAAAAGGAAGAAAGGAAGAAAAGCAAGATGAGAGGGCAGCGATCTCCTCGGATGAAACCAAGGAAGTTGTTCAAATCTTGTAAGATGCAATTTATATTTAAATTTTGTCAGAAATTACACAAAGTCTGGACAGAAACACTTGTAGAGATCTCTGCTCACTCATGCACAATACAAAACATGAAAATCTGAAAAAACATAAAATATGCATTAATCACACAGTATTATGAATTTTAGCAGAAGTGGATGTCTCTGTTATCCACAGTCACTAAGGTGTCTGCTGAAGGTGAGGTGAGTCAAGTCATGTCTAGTCCCAGTCACGTGGTGGATGGAGACATGGATGAGGATTTGGAGTTGCCAGAAACTGCTGTAAACCCGAGTAACCTGTGTCAGCAGTTTAACTCGGCGCTAAAGCAGAAGTTCCAGGTAGGACTCACCGTGATGTACATTTATATAATCTACTGAGCATGACAATATGCAACAGTACCTGCATTACTGACACACTACATTATGGGGGATATTTACAAAGGCTTTGTAGCTCATTCTTTGGCACTTACCAATGAAATTGTAGGTGTTCTTATTTAGCTCTTATTTATAAGAGTTGCAGTTGTGCTGGAAAAAGAAGAAAAGAGTGACTGAGGAGTTGCATGTTTGTTCTCATGCAGTATGTATTTTAAGGTGTTCCCATTCTGTGATTTAAAGTATAGTAAAAAAATGGAAATTTATACAGAAATGAATTTACTACCACAGACTGATGGCTGCAGCAGAAGAAATTACAGGTCAGGAGAAAGGTTTCAAATTTGTGGCACTGCTGTTGGCATGACAACTACTATTCATTTGAAACTTTGCTGGCATTAAGAACACTTAAAGCAGGAGAGGTTGTTTCTAAATTGCATCTCTGTTTCCGGGATGCCAGAGGAGAATGTGGGGGAACTCTACAGGCTTTTAGGTCATTCAGTTCCTCAGCTACTGTACAAAATGAAAGACATTTTGACTGGCAGAAGTCTGTGTGATTACGGTTTGAAATATATACGTATATGTTTCTTCAGCCAGTATTACAGTTAGGTAGCAGTAAACATACAATTTCTTCTAGGCTCCATCTTGGTCCACATACTGTATGTGTAATAAAGGCACCAGGTCTTTATAGGTAAAATGCATTCAAATTAACACTGCTGCATCTCTGTTGATTTACATAAATAGTGCTAGTAAATACACAGCGAAATTGAAAAGTTACCGTGACTCAGTATTTTGTACAGCTCAGTAATTTGCGACAGGATTAGTAAATATCTCCTTATGTAGTTTCCCCTTTTCTAAGGCAGTTTCAAAAATGTCTTTTAACACCACTGAAAAGAAGAGCAGAGAATATTGTTTTAGACCTGTTCTCACAGCTTGTCTTGAGCACGTTACTCCTCTTCTCAGCTGTACTCTTATAATCCTGAGCCACTGAAATGTTGTGAAAATAATGGCCTTGTTGAAACACTATCTGTTACATATGTTTGTATTCAGATTCGTCACAAGATGATGGAGGTTTACAACAAACAGTCTTTGAAGACCATCCAGCAACATGTCTCCTCTCTCAACAAAAGTGTTACTAAATACAGGTCAGTTAGTATGTAATTAGTGTAAACAAAACTTAAAACTGACTTTACTATTCACTGATCTCACTGGCTAATAGATTACAAATGAATGTGCAAATGTGATTTTATTTTTTTACCATCAAGATTATTAATTTGATGGCTGCTTGCCCACCAGTGAATTTGTTAGAGACAGTGACTGCACAGTCTACAGTCAGGGGTAATTTCCCAAAGCGGTTTTAAGTTTACTCTGGTACATTAAGTACTCGTGTTTTCTTGGGCCAGTGCTGCTGTATTCTGTCCTGCAGTCTGAAAACACACATTTTTCCATTTCATTTTAGATTTCTACTTCACTGGTTAATTGTTTTCCTTCTGTACAGGACTCAGAGGCTTGAACACATTCAGAAGGTCCTCTTGGAAGAGATCCACAAACTGGAGCAGAATGGCACTGTCCTGAAAAACATGGAGAAAGACCTGACTGTAGGTCACTCTCTCATCTCTTTGCTCTCTTTCTGTTTCAGGCTCGCTCTTTCTCACCCAGAACACACACTCTCTAGCTATGGAAAGTAATATTGTACAAACATCTCACCTTACAGTATTCTCTGAGATGTGATTGTCACTAAATGTGATGGGTTGTTTGTGTTGTTTTGACCAGTGATCAGTGTTTGGTCTCTGTTTCTTCACAGACTTACTGGAAAGAGCAGGTTGTGGCTTTCCATTCTTACCAAGAGAAGGAAAACAGAAGGTGAAATTTAAGGAGAGAAGAAGTTTGTGTGAACAATACAAGAGCCATGTTGTTGGTCTGATACTGTTTTCCTGACACAACCTAATGTAAAATGTTGAATAATACAGCATTCCACATTTTCTGGATCGTTGTTCACATGGCTTGAATGGGAAGGTTTTTCCTTAAGTTTATTGTTAAAAGCTAGCTGTGCACCCTACATGCTTTTTCATATGACTAAGTTCACTGATGATTATTTGGAAAACGTTCCCTTACTATTATTTACTGTTTCATTGAGTGCAAAAGGCCATTCTAATTTGTACAGTAAACCAATTCAAAGTTAATGGATATGGGTATGCAAAATATATAAAGATCATAATGGTTTTTCAAAATTGAAACCCATGATAGTATTAGATTTTTGTTATGTTTTATGTTTTGAATTGACCTTTATAAAAGTTTTGAGATGACCATGACCATTGTACCTTCTGTCGCACAACATGAAGTTAAGCCACTTCTTGAAAACACCTGAACTTGCCAAGTAATGTAATTGTCAAGTAAATCCAAGGTACAGTTTTTTGTTTCCCATGTACCCTTTAAGCCTGAAAAATATTTGCACTTTGCTTTATGCTGTGTGTTCTCTCACCTTCTTCTGCTCTCCCTCATTTGGTTGCATGGCTGTCTCTTTTTTCCTCCAGAAGTGTGACCCTGAAGAATGCCCTCCAGAGTAACTTGTGTCCCACTTTGGAGTATGAACAGAAAATATTCACATCGGAGGTCTGACTTCACAGTTGACATCTGTGCCTCTTTGTGTTACTTAAATGTTACACTGCTAGTTAACTGTGTAAATCCAGTGCTCAGGTAGCTTTGAAGCATATTCATTCACACTTCATGTACTTTTTAAAAACAGAACATGTCAGTTCTACCTATTAACCTGTCTGCTCATTTTAGGCTGAATGGCTTTTAGAGCATTTTGCTTATCTTGTTGTCTCCTTTGTCTCCTGCTTGTCCTGAATCTCATATTCTGTTTTACCACCCTTAAAACCATGCTCCTCTGCCTACTGTTTTCAGATGTGCCTGATAAGAAAAGACATGAAGTCAGTTCAGGAGAGACTACTCAGCGAAATGGTGAGTTGACACAACACTGGTTAAATGGATTAGACCTTATGGCTTTCAGTCTCTTCCATTTTGTCTTTCAGTCTGTCATTGTGATCTGTAAGGTTTTAAATTAACTGTCTTACCTGAATATTCCTATTGTTTGTAGCAAGATGAGGAGATCCAGACTATGAAGAGGGGTCTGCATGCTTTCTTTTTCCCCGATGCAGCCAGGTTTTGAGTTGAACAGTGTTCTGCCAAAGGTCTCTGCACTATAAACAAGGTTGGGTATTTCACCTCATGGTGCACACTGTGCTCTGTACTTCAGCTTTGCTGAGTTCATGTCAGTGTTTGCCTGAGGTGTTGATTTTTTCCAGGTTCTTGTATTCTGCGGGAATGTGTTTGTTTTATCCTGACTTTGATGTGTTGTTGCTATATATTTGTTTCTATAAGACATGTTATATTATTCTGATATTTATTATTTAATGGCATTCATAGAATCTATCATTTTCGTATTCTTTGAAAGCAAGTACAGGTATAACAAGGCTTTTCCACTCTTGGTACTGTGATGTTTTTAATACAAATTTCTTATTTATTATTGTAGGTTTGTTAAAGACTGAAAAATGCCTGGCTAAATATTTAAAATGTTAAATCCATCAACTGTTTTAAATAGTTTTTCAACCCGATTCTTAAATGAAAATAAAAGTTTTTAAAAATGAGATAAGCCATTCTTAAAAAAGACCTTGTATTTTGAAGACAAGTAGTGCTTACAAAGGTTTTTCGCTTTTCAGTGAAGACACTGTTGGTCCCATTCAAATTGACATACTGTATATACAGTTAATATAAATTCATCCCCAGTACCACCACCCCCCGACTGCAGTCTTTACACAGTCCAACTGACACACTATTCATCACTTAAGAAAAGGTGAAGCTGGTCACATGCACAACTTCTTCCCACAACATGGATTCACACTGCCGTGTCAAAGGAGTCCATGGAATAGTACAAAAAAAAAAAAAAAAACCCCACCGACTGAATGACGACTGAATGACAAAATTGTTTTTCCTCCACTCTCGTCCTGAGAGTCAGAGGCTCCACCAAAGTCCTCTTTCACCAGCCAGCTTTCCATGTGGCGACGTCCAGCAGTCTCCAGGACACACTGCCGCCAACATTATTGTCATCTTCTCTCCCACACCCATGTCCTCATATTGATGATATGATAGTCAAGGGTGCTGGAAGAATGCTGAAGATGAAATGTCTCCAGGCTTTTTGAACTGTTACCGCTGAGCAGCTTGTAGCAGCTTCAGAAAATTTCTTAGCCCAGCATTTCTTCACAGAAGAAACTCCCCGCTTTCATGGCCGGTGGAACCTGGAGAGACAAACGTGCGGAGAAACAGTGTGTAAATGAGATCAGTAGAAATCGTGAGAGCAGAGGGTGCTTTTGTCATCAGACTCAATCAGTCCTATGGGGCTATTTTTAGCACAGTCGTTAAATGTGCCTAGATGCTGGACATGTACTCTCCCTATCCTCCCCCTTGGTTACTCGCATCAAGTACCCCTGATTTGCAAATAAGCTTAGCCAAGGACATCGTGGCATTTTGTCCTTTCTCTGCCTGGAAGAACAAAGTCTTAAGAGGACCCCCACCCTCCTGTACAGAAGCACTCCCATCTATCTTTAGCTCCACGGAGCTCTCTCTGGGAGCAAGGAGAACTAAATTTAGACAGCAGCAGCCTAGAATAGAGCATGCATGCCTTCCCAAACTCAGACCGCACACATACATAGACCACACCTCAGAATACTGACCGGGTGAGGTGTTTGCTTGAGGCATGCACTTCCATCTCGGTGCTTTTGAATTCATTCAGCTCTTTTCGGATTGCTGCCTGCAGGTAAGAGAAATAAAAATCGACATTAGTGCATCCTGAGCGACTGTGACAGCAGGAGGAAGGAAAAGCTTAGTCTGACTAAATCTATTAAAGGTAGCAAGGGGTTTAGTTAGATATACTGATAAGTCTTAATGAGCAATAAGCCACAGAATTTGTGAAATTTTATAAATAGTGACTATACTTGTTTTGGTGATAAATCCAAGTGATTAGTGGCAGGTCATAAATAGTGAATTCTGCATGCCTGTCTGTGGTCACACAAACACACCTTATCTGCTGCTGAGAGCCGAGTCCAGGGCTTGTCTGCTCTCCTGTCATAGTCCTGAGCTTTGGCCACCTCCACGTAGTCACTGAAGCGGATCAGAATCTTTCTGTCTCGCAGTTCATCTACTGTTGGCCGCTGGTTGAGCTGGAATACACATGAAATGGGACATTTGTTGCTGGCTCCTATTAATTTTCAATTATTTTTCATGTCCTTAGTGCTACAGTAGGTGTTAACAAGAACATATGCTTCTAAATACAGTTTGTAGAAATTTTTCAGAAGATGGTCTACCTTTCTGTTTAGTCGCTGTTTGATCTCCCTCCTCTCCTCCTGCTCTACCTGGTCATTTCTCTCTGGAAAAAGAAAACATGATAAATTCATACTACTGTATATCAACAAGTAAACTTTTTTCTTAAATATTAATTACACTACAGAGTATTCATTATAACGATTAATAAGCATGGGTCTATAACCCATTGTGTGATTAAATATATTTAAATTCAGTAAAAAAAAAAAAATTAAAAAAAACATTGTATAAAACATTTCAGATGTATCATCATGTCCCTTTACAGAATTGACCCCAAGGAGGAAATGTGCAGTCATGTGTTCCTCTACTCCTGAATAATGTTTTTACACTGGGCAATCTGTGGTGCTGTTATTAACGCATCGGTTCCCTCAGTTTAAAGGTGCTTGATAAGGACTTTTATACATATATATATATCTTTTTAAACTGTAAATATCAGTATTCCCGTGAAGTGTTTGAACCTACGTTTCAGGATGTTGCGACTCTCCAGCTCCTCCACATTCGGTCTCTGGCTCAGCCTCCTACGGAGAAACACCAAAACCACGTTTTGAACCATTCTGACTTCAACTTTTCCCTGTCCTAGCCTCTGTAAACCGGGTGTAGTTTCTTCACCGTGCGCGTTCTCGAAAGGAATCCCCTATGTCTCCATTTGTCATCCAAACCGCGGCTGTGTTGCTTCGGCAGAGGCGCTCCCCACATCTGGAATAATCAGAGGCGTGATTCTCCGGTTTGAGAATTCTCCACCAAATTATTTTTCGATTTCAAAATGCTGCCTATTAGGTGCGGCTGTCGTATTGCGCTTCCTCGACACCGCCGCGGCAACACAGGTAGGCTCCTCAACTCTACTATCTGCCACGGAATACAAGCGCTTTTGAGCTGGGTCGTGATGGGCTTCTGGGGCGCGACTCCCCCCAGTCTCCCTAGTTACTGCATAAATAATTAGTGGTGGGCGGAGCCTAGGAGGTTCCCTCTCACGGCATCCCGAGCCTCCTCCTGTTGTATTCTGGGCTACTGGCACAACAATATTACTCATGCCGCTGCATTAGGCTATTTTACTTTTAGTCATGTGAAAGACACTTTTTAAAAATGAATGTAAAGGATTTCCAACAAGGAGTAGCGCATTTTATACGTTTAAAATACTGTTATCATCTAATAGCCTACAATTCCAATTTTTGCCATATGAAAGTTTTTAAACATTCATATCACATGTACATTTATTTCAAGCTGTCACATTCCCTCACCATCAAAGCATGGAAAAGGTCTCCAAAACCCAATGTTTTTCCAGAGTCCCCTGTGCATGTGTATTTGTCATACTTTGTATAAATAATAAATGTAAGCTGCACAACAGGACTCAGCTCCAGACAGCATGTGGCACAGGCCACAGCACAGCTCCAGAGGTTGAAAGGACAAAGAGGGTAGAATGCCACCAAGCAGCAGGACTCTCTTTATCTCCTCACTCCAGCTAGCATTATCCCCTTTATAGTTCTGCCCCATAAAAGATCAAAGTTAGGTCACATTTTGAGACCCAGACAGGCACAGAGCAGTCCTGGCTGCCTAATGTACCACAGGGTAGTTACTCACTGAATTGCTAATACAACTATTTTAATCTTCTAAACTCTGTTAATATATTTTAAGAGGGATTTGAACTAAGTTAAAACCAAATTTGTGTGTCAACAGATGCTACCATTCTCAACAGCATAATGCAATAGGCTAAACATTTGCATTAGCTTTGTTTGTATATGCTATTTGCTTAAATAAAACAACACTGACAGACAAAAGGAAGCAGAATTCACAGAAACATCTACTGTGTAAAGTGTTATTTTCAACCCCTCCCAAACACTTTCTACTCTATGAGCACTGCCAAGCAGCCGTTGTGTGACTAGACATCCAAGAATAGCATGAGGAATAACAGTTCAACTCCCAAATTTGCTTCTGAGAAATTAGATTAAAAATGGAACATAAACAGCAAGAATGTTGTCTACAACAGCTTTTTACTCAATCACTGTTTGGGAATTTGATAAATTTGTCCCTATTTGCATTTTATTTATGGGGGGGGAAACACTGTCCAAAACAGAAAATGTTTTTATTGTTGGTCTTTCTTTTACCTCCTTTGTGTTTTTGATCAAATCAGGCATGTTTTATGCGACTATCTCAAAATCAGGTGGAGAACAGCTCAGCTCACTTTTGCTTCATGACTGATAAACAAACCGGGAGACAACGTGTACCCACAGCCCTCGCAGTTTCATTTTAAGCCAGTGAAACAGAACATCACTTCCAAAGCTCCAGCGAAAACCACCATCCTCTGTATTACCGACCCAGTCACCGAGTTGCTTAGCAACAAGCTGTGGTATCTTTGAGAGAATAGTCTTTCTGCAGAAATTCTCACTTCTCCCTAGCAACACATTAATGGAGATTTCACTGTGACACACACAGCTGTATGTGCTTTACAGAGAGGATCGCCAGCTGTTTTTAGAAACAGACCATTTGCTTCTTTGGTCTTTGTCAGTGAGCTGAATAAATCAGAGATCAATGTCAATATTAAACACTATTTTGATAACAAAGTTAGGTTTTCTTTTTTGCAAGCCAAATGCATCACAAAATCGTATTACTCTGTGCCACAGGTCACAGAACATGGATTGTTCTGGATAACTGAGAATTATCACAACATTAAACAAATCACTGACTCAATACATTGTCATCCACACCTCTATTTCTGGTTTTGCGTTTGGGATATATTGCAGAAATTAGATTTAGAAAGTATCCCCCAAACACAGTGATGACACATGAATGCCTGTTGCCATAAGGGTTTCCATTTGTCATGCAAGACGTTCTGCAGTAAACTGAGTTAAAATAGAAAATCTTAGCTATGCCAAGGGAGGGCAGAAAAATCCAAACAATGAAAAAACTATGTGTGGGTGGCTTAAAGTCTTTTATTTCAGTTGCCAATTGTGCAGAAATATAAAATTGCCCATTCCCAGCTTTCTTCCTTTTTCAAGTACAGTAGCAGGCCCCCACCTGCCTCTCCCCCCTTTTGTTTCTGCTGATATACTCATATACTCTAATTCCCTCTCCCTTGTGGAGAGAAGGGAGTGCAGAGGGAGATAAATTATTGAACAGTGGCAGGAGCTAAGATTAGAAACAGTGGAGTGCAGCTATAGCTCGAGTGCAAAGCGGGGAGTCTAAAGATAGAAGGGGCATCTATCACTGACACACTGGACAAACAAGGTGTTCTGATGGCATTTTCTGCTTCATCAGCAGCAAATGTACTGCAGTAGGTCTTCATTCCACACTGATGATAGGATGGAGAAAAGAGCAGATTGAATCTATAGTGGGAGTCACCTGGAGAAGTCACTCAGTATGACTGTCTAGGAGAAGTGAGCTTCCCCCTCCCCCCTTATAAGTATGCCCTCCTGTTCTTCGCTTGAAGCTGTATTTAGCCAGGATTTCCCCCCCAAAATGCTGCAGTTTGCCTTCAATTTCTGCATACACTGTAGTGTAGGATGAAAATACATCTTGCATATATTTGACACTGGGGGTGAGGAAGCATTCAGATGACTTATTTTGAGCCTCAAGCTTGGTAAATTAAGGAAACCATAATGAACACAGACCAACCAAAGCAGCTAAATGGAACAATAGCAGGAACTTGCAAATGTCTGTAACAAGTGTATAAATGTTACACCACTGCTCAGAATCCTGAAGCATCTCAAAGCTTCTAGGTTTTTTTCTGACCTCAAAGAGCACAACCTGCTTTAAGAAGTCTTTTTTGACCTTCCTGATATCATTCATTTATTTTGTGATTAAGAAATTTAAATGGCTATAAATCAAAATTAGTAAATCAACCAAACCCATTGTTGCGTAGAACCAGGTCTTTAGGTAACAAGTAGCTTCTCTCACTATAGTTGCTTGCACCTACACACTTTGTGTCAAATAACAAAATAGTTTCTTCCATTACATTTAAAAATAGATCAGAGAGAAAGTATTCTTAGTTGTCTCAAGACAGACAATAGATCTTGTTCTCTAGAAAGTGTGGGTGGCACGCTGTGCTTGGCTGTGTGCTATTGCACAACAGGTTATGTAACACCGTGGCATGCCCCTGTTTGATATGCTGGTGTTAAACGTTCCCACATAAGACTGCTGCTATCGGTCTTTGAGCATTACCTTTCCCAGTTGTATTATTAAAGCCAGTTGTTTAATTAATGTCCTGGCAGAGAAGCACAAAGAGAGACATCAGTGGTGTGTCTTGTACAAAGAGATTTCCTGGAAGCAGTGTCTGTCTGTACTTGTTGCATTCCAGAAACAGTGAGAACTACTGTTTTTTTTTAAATGCCTCCAGAAATTTTGTGAACATGGGCATGTACATTCTCTGCCACAATATTTGTCACAGGACATTATTCTAAGACTTTATGCTATTTGACCACTCACTGGTCTTAACAGATGTACTATTTCCCCAGCTATAGTTACAGTGCTTACATGCTAGGGTGGAATAATATAGAGAGGCTTTCCATTACAAGGATATGCCTTGAGTAGAGGCATTACACCCATACAGACTCCTCGGAGCAGTAGTGGGTTACATAAAATAATTCAAATCTGAGATGAACAAGCAGTTAATCCGCTTATATTTGATTTTATTATTTTACTTCCATCAACTGTTTTGTAATTGGTGGTATGTCATTGAAGAAATTTAGCATATATGAAGTATTACATTTTTAATTAGCTGCTGTGTGATATTACTATTTTACAGTTGTTTCCTAACCTTCTACCAACCCTGATTTTCAACAGTGATTAATGCAAACTTTATTACTATTACTTCAACAAATACACCAGTGATACTACAGAGACACAGATAGTCATATCGATGCTTACTTGGCAAGTTTCATCTCAATCTGCTGGCGAATTTCCTGGCGCTCCTGGTCACTCCTTGCTGGGAAAATATTCCTGTCTTCCAGCTCCTGCTTGCTGGGCCTGTTTCGTAGTTTGACAGCTAGCAGCTCCTTCCTTAGCCTGCGAGGAAGTGTACCTGCAATCATACAGTACACACACACGCATTAACACACCAAAAAGCTATTGTCAACCTTGTAGACCTTAGTAACAATCTTCATAACAGTATGCAAAGACATACTGACCAATCCTTGATCCCAACAAACACTTGATCTCAACAAACATCCTCACGAGCTGAACATTATTTACCGGGGCAGTTAGAGACTTTTTTATGAGTCTGCTTTATATTTTCAGTGAAGTGAAATGAAACAAACAATTATGGTAAAGGGTGTTTGAGAATTTTCAAATCCATATTAATGAAAGACTTTTTATATATAGAACCAGGCTACTATCCAGGTTCACTGCTTTGTCAGCTCTTATAATTGGACTGGCAGCTAATAACTGTCACTAAAATTGGCTATTTCATACAAATACTAATGGAAAACTTTTTAGAATCACTTGCCTATTTGTACCTGCAGGAGCCACAGAGCAATATTAAATATTGTTCTGGCCGCTTTACAAATTTAAGTTCACTATTTACTCTCATTTTAGCTCTGTTGTGGTTGCTACCATAATCACCGTTATCTGGCTTTTTAGCAACTAATTACTCCACTGTGTTCAGGTACTGTAGTCTCTATGTACTGTAGGTCTATCTGCTGTTTGATGCTGAGCAGGTAGCGTACAATGGATTTGTCAGACTTTTGTGTTGAAAAATGCTGCCTGCTGTTGTTGGAAAGAACACCGTGAAGCAATAATTCCATGTGGGTACACCACTTTCAGATTACTCATGCTCATTGTTAATATAAAAATGTTGATTACTGGGCAAATTCCCCAGCACATATTTGTTTAATTAAATTCCACAAACTAACTGATGCAGCAGCAAGACCTGGGGCCAGTATTATCCAAGATTAGGGTTCTGATTGTTCTCTGGGGCTCTATGCAACCTATAATTATGACAGTATGACAGTTTCTGAACAGTGCAGTAAGACAATGAGAGACAGCTTCATTTCCTACACTGTTCTCCCAGTATAGGTATAAGCACATTCAGATTAAAGCAGATGTCATCACCTTAAACTCTGGAGTCACTGTTAAAATTTAAATCCAGTCTGTAGAGTACAGAGAAAAAAACTAAATGTGTGAACATCCAAATGCTTCCAGACTTAAACTGGCTCTTTGACCCACCAGAGATGACAGACTCATTCCAGTCATCCAAGTCAGTGGGGAGGCCTGAGGTGTTAGAGAAGCACTGGTCCAGCCGCACATTCTCCTTGTTCTCCTCTGCCTCCTTCTTGGGCCAGTCAGACCCTCCACCTCCCAGGTAGCCCCCTACCAAAGACGACACGTGTTGGTTTTCAGAGCTGCACGAGCGAGAGAGCCGTCCGTCAGAGCACCACAGGCGTGGGGGTGAGCCCTGCTCACACCCTTCATGGACACTGAGGGGAGGAGGCCAAATGTAGGGTTAATGTACATGAGAGTGGGTAGATCTGATGTCCCATCAAAAGGGTTGTAGCCTTCAATCAAAATATGACTGAACAAAGTAGCATATTTATTTATTTTTTTACTGTTCCTGTCTGTTTGAATGTGGAACCCTATAAAAACAGATGTATGGGTCAACCTAATGACTCACCTCTCCTGTCTGTTCTTGGAAGCAAAGGCTCTCTGCAGTTCCTCCATAATGCAGCTGGGGGGCATGGGAGGATGCATCATATTGCCTAGATGCGGGGACCCTGAGGGGTTGGCCAGGGGCCCTCGGAGCGGTAGGGTCATTGAAGCCAAGCTTTCCGTGGCCCTGGGTGGAGGCTCCTTGGGGAGGTAGGAGTTGGCCAGGTGAGTGGGGAGCGACACAGGGCCTGAATCTAACAGGAAGGCATGAGGAGAAAAACAAAGTTTTTTTCTTTCCTGGATATTAGTTTGTAGGTCACAGGAGCTTTATCATAGTTGATGTTTGGGAAACACACGTACATTTTTACTTATGGGAATTTAGGCTGACTTACACATCTGTTTAATATGAGAGCAAAATCAAATATGGAGGAAATTATATGAACACAGGAGAAAGTACAACCTTGCCAAGTTTATTTTCACAGAAATGAGAGCACAAGTGCCAGCTGTAGTGTATCTATAGTATGCATGTTCTATAACATATATTTTGCTGATAATACTAAAGGGTCTAGAGACTTCTTCCACCACTGAGTTTTGATGGTGGTGGTGTAGAGTGCTGGCCAGGATGTTGGAAAAAAATATCCCATAGGTGCTTAAGTTGAGAACTAGTGGCCTTGAAGGCTACAGCATGCCATGCACATAGTTTTTATACATGTGCCTTGTATGGAAACATCAGTTTATCTTTCTCCTCTAATTTTGATTTTCTTTACTTTTCCAGCCAGTTGTAGTTCAAAGTGAGCAGAAACTGGTTTTCTTCAGCCACTCTCTGAAGGTCCCATTTACCACATGACCTTAACCTCTCAACACTCACCATCTCCAGTGCTCAGCTGGGGCAAAAGTTTTGTAGGTAGTAGTGGTGGGGAAGTTCTTAGAGGAATCTCCTCCTCTGATCTTTCTTCCATCTGCTCTCCCATGTCATGCAACCCTTCAGGTAAACCCCCAGCAGGGTGCACCTCCTCATGCCCTTCATCCTCCGTTAGCGGTACATTTTCCTCCACCCGTTCACAGTCCTGGAGTGGGGCAGCTACTAGAGGAAACAAAAGCAAAACATTTTTAAATGTTAAGAAAACTCATTTTATGGAAAACACTAATGCACACATTAGCTTACAATTTAAAGTATTAAAGATGGCAGAAACGGCTTGAAAAAGAATGTTCTGAAGAACAGTTATGTACAGTTTCTTCCCCTGGGCCATAACTCTCATGACCAGTTAATCCATGTTTATATGTTTAACAACTTACAGCAAACACCACAGTGTAGTAACTTATAGACAAAATTATTGTACATACCAAACAGCTCTTTTTAAACTTTTACACATTTACACAAATTTATCAATAGATTGTTTGTTTTACTTGTTATTCTGTTTTTATTATGTTTTATTTGATGCACATTAGGGGCCACTGAACTGGAATCCAATTCCTTGTATTTTAATATTTAATCATAATATTAAATATTATGACTGATTGATTAATATCAGGTTCTAATTGATGGAAAGTCAATTTAGGGACTATGACTTCTGAAAAAACAAATGAAAATACAATTGAACAATACCGAAATTAAAAACTAATTTATAGCTAATTGAATTTTAATTGTGATTTATAACATCTTGCCAAGCATAGTCTGTTCTGCTGGCTGCAGTAACAATAATACTATATACCATTATGCTAAAACGTACTGTACTATTCTAGGTGTGTATATACAAAACATGATGCACTTGTGACAGCACTGCATAGGCTAGCAAATTACTATGTGTTTGACTGATATAGGGCCACATTTCTACCAAATGCACACACTATAAACATTAGTAGACATCAAATAGCAGGTGAGAGCAAAAGCAAAGGCCATTGAATTGTCTCTGCTGCCCTCTTATGGTGCATGTGTAGAACATCAATTCAAAAACAAATGGCTCCCTTATGGAATGCAGAATATAACAAAATCAACAGACACACACAAACAGCTACAGACACAGCAGCTCTAAAGGTTGACAGTGGAGCATCTGTTATGTCAGTTTCAAATTTTATGACCTGAACAAAGTCATACTAGCGAAATAACCACATGTAATATCCTGGTACTGTAGATGTAGACACAATCCTGTGGCGGTATGGACATATTTCTCTATCATGATATCATGAAATTACAAATATCATTACATCCCTAGACATACGGCAATTGATGTAATTATTTTAATACATGAATGCTATTTTTTAATTATGCTGCAAGAAAACAACATAAAAAGCATTTTATCAGACTGATCATAGCAATTGTATACATTTTATTTATCTAATAAAAAAACTGTTGTAAAGACACACACCACTTAACAAGTCCCCCACTCTAATCTCTTGCTTTTGCAGCTCTACTGCACAGTGTCCATTGACTAGTTGAGTTTGAGCACAATCAGGGATTGTCCAACCTGAAGGGGGATGCTCCTCCTCAGGACCAAGGTATTCCACACTGCTAACTGTGAGGTTTGAGTTCAAAGGTCCACCAAAACCTCCAAGCAGGACTGCACCATCTGAACAGCAGCCCTGGGTGGGGGAGCTTGGGTCATGGCATAGAAGACTGCTGGATAATGCTACATCTGTGGGAGGATAAGAGGGAAGAGGTATGTGTACCTGTATTGTGTATACACATTCATATGAATGTGGCATTCATATGTATTATCTCCAGAAAGTCATTTCTGGTACTGATGCTTTTCTTGCGTAATTTGTGCTATTTCTATTTCTTTTTTGCAAAAAGCTCAATCAGTGTGGTTACAATGAAACAGCATTTTGGGGTCATCATACTTCCTTGATTGCCTGTTAGTGAAAGGTTTATTTTATTGTATGAAATGGTACTGAAAAGACACTTCTAAATCTTTTTTGGCAAATATTTTAAATAAGGAGCAGCTGCTAAAGTGATGGACTGACAAACAGTGCAGCAGACCTGATGTGACCAACTGTACTGACCAACCCTAAATAAAGTCAACTCTTTAACTCATCTTGATTCAATACCACTCTCTCTACAGCAAAATCATCACATTTAGCCTGGTATTCATCGACTATAATGATGCTTTTAAAAGCAGGCACACAAGGTGACAGAGATCATTTGATTCTGTTCATCAGCCGGCAGTATGATCATATTGTACTATTATTTTGCAAAATTCAGCCAAATGAAAGCAAATTAACAAATTAGTGAGATTTTTTTTTGGCTTTGTCTCATGTAGCCTCAGTTTTTGCCTCCTGTGTTTGAATCACAGACCAAAGCATCCAGTTTTCCAAAAAATGAAGATGTGGCATATTACCCAGAAGGGAAGTGAACAACACTTCCCACTATTATGACAGTATTTCCAGAATATATTCAAAGACTCTTCTAATCATATTTCACAATTAAAAAAAAAAAAACATTTTCAACCCAATTTTCTGATCCATACAAAAATGGACTGACATGTCTTGCTCAGTTAATACAATGCAAACCAAATTTAAAGTATTTTACTTTCTCTTAGACTTGAATTATTTATGTTACTGTTACTTTATAGCATTTAAAAATTTGAAGCAAAATAAGGGATTATAGTAGGGAACTATATAATTTCTGAATATCCTGGTAGAACATAGAGTTGCAACTTGATAAACATGCAAATGCAGTGAATGGAGTATCTTTTTCATTCAGATGGTTAGAGCAGTGTTTGAGGTTTCTGGAAATACCTTCAACTATAATTACATACATTTGCCATATTGTGGTACAATTTAACAAAAATGTTCTTATTTATACTGTGATATTGATGGCAGCCATATTTCCAAGCTTTTAGAAATTCAACACCAAAATTCAAAAAGTACTGTATGTGTCAGCACTATGCTGGCAAACGGCGATAGTTTGTTCTCCCTTTTAAAATCTTCTATATTTCTATGACTTCAACAAAATCAAAATGTATAAAACACTTCCTGAAGTGATTATAATTTGATGAGGACATACTTAATTCAAATGGCTGGCGCATGACTTGCCACACTTTTCATCCACACCGTCTCATTATGTCTTCCTAATCTAATTCATTAGAGACAATGGGGAGAAATGTGAGCGAGAGAGCATCTGTTTGTGTAACCTGTACTATAAATATACAGCCTTCCTCCACCCCACCGCCGTGCACTGTACCTGTGGAACTCTGCTTGAGCTTCTCATTTTTCTTTTTCCTCCACTTCCAGGGTTTGAAAATGCGTCCCAGGGTGGCCAGCTTGCTGTTACGTCGGATGGGTGGAGTGTGGACCCCGGTCACCAAGCAACCTGTCCTCAGCACCCTCTGCTGGTCCAGCACCTCTACTACAGAGATCGAAGAGATGGAGAAGCAGCCCAGATAGTGGCCAAGAGTTGTTACAGGAGGATGAAATGGGTAAAGAAAGAGCAGGTGGGGGTGTGGACAGAAGGATCCAAAGCAGGAAAAGAAGGCAAAGAGAGGGGAAGGGAGTGTGTTGCAATATGGTGGTAAAGACAGGTAAAGGGAAAGTGAAAGAGAGAGGGAAAGCAGAACACAATTAGTATGCCCACCTTACTGAATAAACCATGATGGACTCTAAGTGCTGTGAACTGATTCAATTAGAAAGACTAATCTGATCAAGGCACACTCCCTCATGGGTGTTACTGTATGTCCCTGTGAATCCCTTCCCTGTGAGCTGTATGCCATGTATCAAAATAAATATCTCTCACAGTCCAAATTTGGGGGGAACATAAGAGCACAGGCAGGGAGATCCGACAAAAAAAAAAATGCATTTCCCCAGAGACCAACAGGTGTGCTAGCCTTGCTGCTTTCCCAGAGACAACAGTAGACTCTGCTGCCTAGTAAGACAGAGCTGATTGTTTTAACGTGCCAGCCTTTTTGTTCCAATATACTGTACAGGTCCACTGCTACACATATTTATATTATATGTCCCAGCTCTTACTCAACATTCCATATGTGACCTCAGTAATCTTTTTAGGAGGTGTACATGTCCTTTCCAAAACATGGGTACCATTCAGGTTATTTTTGTTATTTGATCCCACAAAGCCATGATGATTTAGGGTGCTCATGCCTGTCTCTATGCCACATAAAAACACTCACAAATATTCACAAAATAGTCTAAACAGTAAATAAAACAACATATATGTTAGTTTAATCAGACATTGTTTCATATACTGTACAAAAGGAAGCAATGGAAACATATGCAGGAATCTATGGAGAATAGAGTCTTTGATATTCATCTGTCTTTTGTAATAGATTAGCTGTGCCCATCTACTGTGATGCCATCCCCTTCAAATAGAGCCTTTTTCTCTCTTTAAAGGAAGCTTGTATTTCAATGAATGATGACTGTGACTCATGTCAGCCAAAGTATAGGTCTACAGTGCCATGTGCCCACGTTGCTGCTAGTCACAAAGAGAGCCAAGAAAAGGAATCTTACAGTAAATGTCATGTATTTAAGAGCTGCATACATCAATGTGACAAAAATGGAGTGATATCAGCCTTCAGGAGGCTGATATCTTTATTCAAATATTCATCTAAGGAAGAGGGAAGGATCTGTGATGGGGGAGGTTGGGAAGAAGAAGGGAGGGATTTGCAGAATGGCTTAGGGTGTGATGTAGAGTATGGTGATGGAGGAGGGAGGATCCAGCTGACTCCTTTTCATGTGCTTTTGCAACCCCTTGCGTTTTCCTTGAAGCACAAGTGTAGGGAGTAGAAAGGGGATGGTGGTAGTGATTGGGGGAGGAGAAGGGTAGAAGAGATGAAATGCTAGGAAATAAGGAGGGGAGAAACAACAGAGGAGAGGAAAAGAGACTAGGGAAGAAACCATGAGAGCAGTGTAAAATAAAGGAAAGATGGTAGTAAAAGAGAGTGAGAAACAAGAAAAGGAGAGGAGAGTAAAGAGAAAAAGAAAGGTGGTGGCAAAAAGGAAGGGGCAGCAAGCAGACTAGAGGGAAGAGAGAAGAGAGAAAAGGAAAGGAAAGGAAAGTAATGGCATGAGATAAAACAGGGAGAGGTGACAGAGAATATATGAAATTAAAAGTGACCATTTTGAGTTCAGAGTTTGACCCCAAGTGTTCCTGGAAACAGGTCAGTTGACCATGCACACCCTTCTCACTGAGTCATCCTCACTACTGTCACACATGCAGCGTGGCAGACAGGGCGCCACACACACAATCCAGGCCAAGCTTTAAGTAAATGCACTCAGTCGTACAGAGGGAAAAAGCCTAAAAGAAGGAAAGAGGGAGGGATAGAGGTGTCTGTGTGTGTGTGTGTGTGTGAGAGAGAGAGAGAGAGAGAGAGAGAGAGCCAGAGAAACTGCATGTATCTGTAGATACAGAGAGGAGGTGGGGTCAGGCCCACTGCTGTTGCCATGGTGACCACATCCAGATGCTGCCGCAGCAGTGGAAGCCAGTGGGGCAAGCAAGTCAGCCTGTAGCTTAGAGGAGAGAGGAGAGAAGCCCCCAACACAGACTCTGCCTGCCACATCTAAAGCCAGTGAAGCACCCAGTGCATTGTGGGTAGGGGGTAATGCCACGCAAAGGACCAAATCTGTCTGCATTTTGAAAAAGGGAAGGAGATCAGAGGGTGGGGGGAGGAGGAGGGGAGAAAGGGGATTCCAGGGAGAAGAGGCGAGATGGAGAGATGGGAGGGGGCTGTTGCTATACGGAAGAGCTTGCAGGAGAATCTGAGCTCGTCCAATCACATAGCAGCTATTTGTAATGCATATCAAGTAACTCTTCATTTTTCATAGAAAGACTGGTGGTTCAGAGTAAATGACAGGAATCTGGTGGAGCACAAGAATTAGGTAAAAACACATGCATGCACATGAAAATTTCTTTTATCTGCCAGATGAGGATGCATCAAAATATATGTCAAATAAGCATGAAAGGATTGCGCACACTATGTGCTGAAAATATACAATTCTAATTAATATGCTAATGCAAAAAGGATGTGTTAAATCCACATGTCATGCTGATGCAGCGGACCGTGCTGTATGCCCGTAGTCGTCTACAGCACAAGTCTGCACACTGTAAATCCAGTCAGGTGGCAGTGTCATGGTTGTACACACAATAAAGCTTATATTCCCAATAGAAAACATATAATTCATATATACATTCATAAAATAAGCAGTGAATGTTAAACCCTATTTTGCATTAGCGCATTGTGGAATGATTTATGAGTAGAATAAAGTAGGCAATATGATAATGTGACTTGGCAAGAAAAGTACGACAGAGTGCGTTAGTGTGCCACCAGGGACCACACCCCACTTAACCAGCTTGTCAGCACATTCCGGAGCATAGATATCTCCCTACATGCACAAACTGAGCACATCCTCCCTCCAGGTGCCCAAGGAGAGAGCTGTCCAACAGGAATGTGCTCTTCTTTGTCTCCTTCTCTGTAAAAGAAAGGGTTTTAAAATGGTTAGTCAGCGATGAAATACCCAACACACAATTTCTGAGTCTTTCCTGTTTTGCTGTGATACTGACAAAGGCAAAGAATGTAAGCAATGAACGCAACTCAGAATGTATTTGTGACCTTTTCACAATCTGTGATGAAAGGGATTCACACTGAGAGGTAGGATAATACCAGTGGCATAGTTTCAGTAATGAGGTGATATGAGGCAAAGCCTTGCTGAATAACCTGACTGAGTGATCTGATGAGCGAGTTTGTGTTTTTAAAGCTCTCTCTGTTGTATTACAAATTATGTCTAAATCTATTTGTATTATTTCACTGCATCTCAAGAATACTGGACATCAAGTATTTATCATGCTACTCTTATTTGAAACCTCTCAAACACTCAGCTCTTTGAAATATCAATTGTGGAAAGGCCTTAAAGGGTTGTCAGGTACAGTAGTCTGAAAATACTATTTGCCCTTCAAGTTACAGTGCAATATTTACAGCTTCAAACAAGTACAGTCTGGTGTGTTGTCTTGCACAAAAGGTATTATTTTTGTTCATCTGTTATCTGAGTCGGGCAATTTAAAAAAAATTGTCTTGTCCATTGTAGTTTTATTTTTTTAGCCAGTTGGTCTTTTGGTCGAAATATCTCAACCACTGTCACATGCATTGCCAAGAAATTCACTGTTCCCAAAGCGTAAATGGTTTTTGGTGATCCCATTAGGTTGATATTTTACTGTAGTTTCTGTGTAAAATAGTTCAACAATTACAAAAATTTTGGTAGAGAAACGTATTTTCCCCTAAGGATGAATTGTCATAACTTTTCCTGTAGCACCATTTGTCCAATAATTAGCTTTATGTCAAATACCTGTAAAACTAATGGTGTTTTAAATTATATATGCTACACTAAGTTGGTGAAAATTGGAAACATTATACCTACAAAATATTGGCATTAACATCATCACGAGCATCTTGCCATGCTAGCATTAGCATTTTGCTCAAAGCATTGATGTGTCTGTTATGGATGGTTCAACTATTAGTAGGACTAGTGGAGTTAGATACTGTAAGTAGTGAGCAGGCTGCCCCATTCAAATAAAACCCAAGACAGTGGGGCCAGCCACAGCAGCGTGACCCAAGCAAATACTGTGTAGATATGAAGCTGGGTTAAGCTGCTGATTGTTTACTCCTTGCTTGGTAGGAGTTAAAAGTAGCTCTGAAAGTATCGTTCAATTTTAAAGAACTGTAGGTTAGGGCTAGAGAATAGTGCTGCCTGTCATAGGGCCCAGCAGATTTATGATGGGATGGCCTGATATCCACTGCGGGGCTCAGTGATACGACAATTCAAAACATCATTTAACATAAATACTGGGCTTCTATAGGAATGCTCACTCAGCTTTTAGCACATATACAGTGCCTTGCGAAAGTATTCGGCCCCCTTGAACTTTGCGACCTTTTGCCACATTTCAGGCTTCAAACATAAAGATATAAAACTGTAATTTTTTGCGAAGAATCAACAACAAGTGGGACACAATCATGAAGTGGAACGAAATTTATTGGATATTTCAAACTTTTTTAACAAATAAAAAACTGAAAAATTGGGCGTGCAAAATTATTCAGCCCCCTTAAGTTAATACTTTGTAGCGCCACCTTTTGCTGCGATTACAGCTGTAAGTCGCTTGGGGTATGTCTATCAGTTTTGCACATCGAGAGACTGAAATTTTTGCCCATTCCTCCTTGCAAAACAGCTCGAGCTCAGTGAGGTTGGATGGAGAGCGTTTGTGAACAGCAGTTTTCAGTTCTTTCCACAGATTCTCGATTGGATTCAGGTCTGGACTTTGACTTGGCCATTCTAACACCTGGATATGTTTATTTGTGAACCATTCCATTGTAGATTTTGCTTTATGTTTTGGATCATTGTCTTGTTGGA